AATTTGCTGGGCGCCATTTTCTTTCTATCTATCTATCTATCTATCTATCTATCTATCTATCTATCTATAATAAACCATGAAACATCCTTACAGATACATCTCGGTTATAATATATTTCGTGAATACTTCTATATTACTCTCTTCAGAACTTTTTAGATTCAGAACTCGGATTTTACTAAGAACTTTCTGTCTGAAGAGATGAACATTGCAATATACAAAAAATAACCGAAATGAATCTTTAAGTATTTTCTTGGTTTATTATTATTATTATTATTATTATTATTATTATTATTATTATTCTCTGTAATTTACATTGAGCTCTCTTTGGATTAATATCCTCCTTGGAATTATACCTACCAGTCACATATTGATATCATATATATATATATATATATATATATATATATATATATATATATAATATACATATGTATGTATAATATACATATGTATGTATGTATGTATGGGTGTGATTGTGTGTGGGTGTATTTGAAATCCATATGATGAAAATATTTTTAGCTTTTTTTTTAATAATATCCATTATCCATCCTATAAAAGAACCAAGAGTCACTCAAAGTAGATATTATATCATAGATTACAGAATGTTGCTAATCAACTCTGGTCTACAATATTGGTTTAATGTAATGAGTGAGAGGATCGAAGTTATTCGATCAAAAACGAGACAAACTCATGAACTTTGGACAGTTTATCCAAGATTTTCATCTGGGTGTGCAATAACTTATTCGAAAAGTGGAAAAATACAAAATTAAACAGACCTGAATAGTTGGATTTAATAAAATTAGTTTAAATTAATTTTATCTGTACATATATATGTATATATATATATGTGTGTGTGTGTGGGTGAGAGAGAGAGAGAGAGAGAGTGTGCGAAAGCATGCGTATGTGTGTGTGTGTTTGGATGTCACTGTAAATATTAATAATGAACTTGAACGTATTTTTACCAACAAATATGATTAAAGGCGCCTGTGTGTATTATCTGTGTACAAGTTCTTGTGAGTTTGTTTTTGAGTTTTCTACCTTTCTCTTCAACGCGCTAAGCAAAGAATGACCGACTGCGCATGCTCAGGTGTGTGTGTATGTGTGTGTGCGCGCGTGCGCGCTCGCTTTCAACAACAGAAGATACACTGTAAAGCCCCAGGATCTAGAACAAGTAACGTTATCAACATCAGAAGGATTTTTCTATCCTTTGCCCCAGTAGGAAACGAGCTCCGCTTTGCTACGGGCATCGATTCTCCTGTCAATCTTAAATTAGCTTCTCTGCCTTTGCCATTTTACTTTGCTTAAGTCGCCATATTATTATTATTATTATTATTATTATTATTATTCCTTCAATCTCCTTTACGTATTTTTATCACTCTCTTTTTTTGTATGTTTTCTTTTGCAATCTTTATTCTTTTTTCATTCATGATCGGCTTTTTTCTTTTCATTTATTTTTATATTTCGCCTTTTTTTTCTCTTTTCAATACTCTTTCGCTGTCATAGAATTTTCAGACTTATTCTCCAGTTTTTCACTTCGTTCTAAAAATCTTTTCACCATCTTTATCTTTTTCTTTCCCTGCTTTTTTGTTCATTCTTCTTTTTTTGCAATACGAACGTCTTTCTTTCTCTCCGCTCGTCCTTCACTACTCCCCCTCCATTTCCTATTTGTCCTTATTTCCTGTTCTATCTTTCTTTCTTTTACTTTCTTACTTATTCGACTTTTATTTTCCTTCACTATCCTTAATTCTTTCCTTTTTTTGACATTTATCTTTGTCATCATTTTTCGTTGGTTCCTTCTCCTTACTTCCATCTTTTTCTTTCTCTCAATTTCTCACTTCTTCCTTTTTTCTTTTCGCTTTTGTTTATACATTTTGCATTTTTTCCGTCTTCCTTTTTTATATCTTTCTTTCTTCCTTTCTTTCTTTCTTTCTTTTAATCTTTTATTCCACTTGCCTTTTGTTCTTTCTTTTAACTTTTGTTTCTGTATTCCCTTTTCTTTCATTCTTTCTTTCTTTCTTTTAACTTTTGTTTCTGTATTCCCTTTTCTTTCATTCTTTCTTTCTTTCTTTTAACTTTTGTTTCTGTATTCCCTTTTCTTTCATTCTTTCTTTCTTTCTTTCTTTATTTTAATCTTTTATTTCACTTGCCTTCTCTTTTTCTGTCCTTTTTCTTTCATTCTCTCTTTCGCCCTTTCTTTCTTGTTTTTCTTCTCTGTTTATTCCTTCTAACGTTTGTTTCTACGTGCCTTCTCTTTTCTTTTTTCTTTCTTTCTCTCTCTCTCTCTCTCTCTCTCTCTCTCTCTCTCTTTCTAACATTTATTTCCACTTTCTCTCTTTCTCACAAATTTATTCTTTTCTTCCATTTATCAACTTCTTCTTTGCTTACATTTATTCATTTTCTTTTATCTTGTTCTTACTTGACCAAGTTTCCTTTCATTCTCCTCTTGCCTTCAGATGTCTTTCGACGAACCTTTCCAATCTCTGGAATCTGAGAGATTTTTACTTCTTTCTTCTTTTTACAACTCTTAAGATTCTAATGAGCTTTCGATATTCTTCAAGCATTTTTCTCATTCAACTTTCGTCTACAGATGCACACACAAACATCAGCAGCTGCGCATGTCTGCCTATGTTTACGAAGATGCAAATGTGCAGGATGCGCGAGGCAACAACAAAAACAAAAACGAAAACAACAAAAGGCTTCGTTACTTATGCAATATAAACATGTAATATATATGTAAATAAAGCAAATTATATTTAAATTACAGACACAAATGTATGTATATATATATATATATATATATATATATATATATGCATATGAATTTACAAAATATGAGTAGTCATGCGTACAATGACAATTTTATATAATTATAAACGATTCATCTATCTCTCTCCCCTACCATTATCTATCTATCTATCTATCTATCTATCTCTCTTTATATATATATATATATATAGAGAGAGAGAGTGAGATAGACATATAGATAGATAAATATTATATATCATGACACTAGCGTTTTCAGAGACAGATATTTACAAAATTTAGCATAATCTGGCACAAGGCCATTATAATTATGACAGTGTCAAATCAAGTGACATGATCTCTTCCTCTCTCTCTCTCTCTGCATATATATATATATATATATGTGTGTGTGTGTGTGTGTGTGTCTGTTTTTGTATTTAGGCAGCATATCTTCATTCAAGCATGTTTGATTGAATAATCTAGACATATTTATTTATTTTTATTGTAATCCTCTCAAATTCTCGGATCAATTTCTTAGTGCTGTTACAACACTGTGTAAGAAAGACACCGTAATTTTTGTTACATCTTTTCTTTTCCTAGGTACTTTCAATCATATCTAAGATCATCTTCAGGGGTAATATCTATACCACTAAACATCTATCTCAGATATGTAGACGATATTCTTGCCTTAGTTAAAACATAGGCGAAATACATAAACTACAAACAAATTTTCAAAAAACTCTGTTCTTAAGTTCACATATGCAGTTAAGAATAACAAAACAATTTCTTTTCTTGATATATTGATAGACACCAATAATATGTTCACTACTTCCACATATAAAAATTAACTAGCATAAACATTTGCAATCTCTACTATAAAAGTGAATGTTCTATTACAAAACAGCGATTAATTTAAAAATTTAATAAACCGTACAAAAGATTACTCTTCCACGAAAAAAAATTTATTCACGAAATTAAAAAAAAAACATTAAGCAAACTCTCATTAATATTGACTTTCCTAATTATATTGCTGATGAAGAAATTAGACGGGCTTTTAAGAATATGTAGTTTAAATTCAGGAGACTGGCTTAAATTCCTTAGTAGACGCTTATTCTGAGTGATAAAGTCTAGATGTTGTATTTGTCATATTGTCTGGTTGTTTGTAGACTAACTTCTTCCCCCACGTCTTTCGTACACTGCATATTTATATTTTCTCAAATCTCGTGGTCGCCGTGACTTTGCGTTAATTTGTCAGCATAAAAACAATATGGCTTCCCCACGATATTCTTTTTACGTACGGACGTTCATGAGGTAAGATTTCTTTTCAAACTACAGAATATTAACATTAACATAAATCAAAAGGAATATAATACTTCCTCAAATAACCCAAAATATATCAACCTACTATACCGCAAATGCACTCTAACTACAAACAAGATGAAAAAATCCTAAAAGAACACATAAGTACTAATATATCTCACACTGATTCCAGTAAAAAAATAAAAATAATTATATACTATACTAAATTTAATACAACTGACATAATCATCCGCAAAAACTCTTCTTCGTCAACTAGTGTTTTGAAAAAGACCAGAAATGTATTTCAATTTAAATGTTCTTAGGAAGATTGTATCTCTGACAAAAACGTAAATATATATGTTGGCTTCACAACAACAACAACATTATCAAGTTGGCTTACTTTACACATGTCGAATTCAAGTTCTATTGCACAACATTTAAAATAACATTTCTGTCCACATTCAAGTTTTAGAGTAATATTAATTGATAATACAAATATACTCCACCATGAAAATAGAAGACAAAAACTTCAACTTCTCGAAGCGATCTACATAAAAAAAGCGAAACACTAATTATAATTAATTATGATTCTAGCAACAATACCTTAAAATGTCTATAAAATCATGTTTTTGGGAAGCTGAAATTTGTTTTTTTAAAAGAATTGCTGTTGAGTATTTTTAACAATAAAAATTGTAAACAAAGTTAACTCCCTTGCATATTCTTAACGTAAATTGACTCTAACGGAGCGCGTTTCATATGCATTTACAAAAAAATCACAACTCACAACTATCAATTACATTAACTTTTGTCTTAGCAATTGGCCAAGGAAGATGATCTTGGATGAGATTGTAAGTACTTGAGAAAAGAAATAAACAAAACTGCAGCGTCTTTATTACTCAGTTTTGTAACAACACTAAGAAATTGATCAGTGGATTTGAGATGATTAAAATAAAATAAATAGACATAATATGTCCAGATTATTCAAGCAAATATACTTGAATATATATATATATATATATATATATATATATATATATATATATATAACAGCATAAGCAAAAAAAAAAGAAAAGTAACTGAAACAAACTAGCAATACAAAACCTGGAACGAAACAGACACCTAACTTAACATAAATCAACAGCGCTCATTGTTTTTGAATTTAGAAACCCGAAAAGGAGAATTTAATCAAGACAGAGCCGTAACATTTCATATGTGTCTATCTATCTATGTATCTAGCTATCTATCTAGTCAAATTCTTGGATGTTGATAATATATATATATATATATATATATATATATATATATATATATATATATATATAGAGAGAGAGAGAGAGAGAGAGAGAGAGAGAGAGAGAAAGAAAGAGAGAGAGAGAGAGAAAGAGATAGTATATTGGGGCAGCAGATCATTATTTAAACATATATTGTTAATTGTTAATTATGACAGGCAATGAATGCCTATTATGTCTGATCAAGTGCCGTTCTAAAGTTCCTACGCTTGCCTTAATTTTGGGTGAAATTAAAGACAAAAATTGTCCAACATTTGAATATTTTTTATTAAGTTGGTCCTTGATCTATGCTTTCGGTTCACGTGAGCCATCTTCAGGGTGGTTATACGAACATTTTTACAAAGATATTCACTATCGAAGATAATATTTTGTTATGTAATATTAAACAAACATTTGTTAATAATGGATTTCCTAATTCTGTCGTTGATCAACTAAAATAAATTAAAATGTATCTCAATAAATTTAATAATACAAAATTGATAATATTAATAATATTAGTGCACGTCAAAACAAACATAACACTATTAACTTATACTATTGTAACTAAATGCATAATAATTACAAACACAACGTTCAAAAACATAATAGGTAGAAATGTTAAATCCATTAATTATAATAATAAACAGGTTAATTTCATCATATGTAATAAAAAACTTATAACAATGGACTTCAGACTGAAAAAACCCTACAACCACACAACACTACCTATACAAAAATAGACTATGTACGAACGCTTATTGCCTATGGAATTAGGAAACGCCAAACGGGCATCTTCATCAGGGATATATATATATATATATATATATATATATATATGGCCTGACGATTGTGTACTTCCGGGTGTTAACATCAATGTCCACTTTTGTATTAGCATGTGCTCTATCCTTGATATTGAGCATTTTAACTCATAAATATAGCATACCTTAAAAGTATATTTTGATTTTATTGTATCCCACCCGAGCACTTTCGACTGTCACTACAGTCGTTATCAAAACTTGCGTGTTTTTAGTTTAGTTAATAATAAATGAATAAATAAATGAATAATTTCAGTTTGACCCTTGTAGATGACATCACCGCGAAGTGACTTGAAATTGCAGGCTAAGAAACGATAGAATTTGCTAAACACGAAATTCTAATAACACACATAAAGGATTGGAAATTTTCCGTGAACTGTCAAAAGACTCAAAACACTGCAGAACAGATACTACACTTTCATCCTTGCACGGAGACTAACTCAAATTAATTTCCTTTTTCGTTTATAAATTTGATTCTTCAAAAATAGTAAAATCACATATTCTTAAATTATATATTTAATATTAAGTATCAGGAAGTAACGTGATGCCATTTGAAAAATTTCCACAGATTATCTGTAATTATAATTTTTAATTACAACATCGTGTTTTGTATGATTTTAGTAACTTGATTAGTAATACGGAAGTTGGGAAACCCGGTTAAATGTCATAAAACTGATGTCGCGTCATAAGTAGGGTGATATGGCATCTACTATTATTTACATAGATTACGCCGTCCTGGGTATGATGATAAACTACATTCGAGTCCTGGGTAAGAGGATAAACTCTATCCAACAGTATGGTCTTTGATCAGGAGGTTTTGAGGAGCGTGAAACCACCTCTTAATTGCTGTTGTTCCCAGGTCCATACTGATCCGGGGTGGTAGCCCCTGTCAGGGTCCTAGTTATGCCCCACCCCCAACTAAAAATGTAAAATATTCTGCTCATTAAC